GTCCTTTTGTGGCCGCGCGCGGTGTCAGCTCACGCTCCGAACCGTGTACGCTGTACGCGCTTGTGACGCGACGTCTTACGGTGGTCTGGAACCTGCGGGCCATTTTTTTTCTCAGCAGCATAATTTCGAAAAATGATTGGAGTATATGTGTTTTTTTTTTCGAGTCGATAGCTGGCGCAGAAGCCAATTATTTCCGAATTTGTTATAAAAAAAACAAAAAAAAATCGACCTAAATGAAAATTGTACAATTGAAAAAAATAACAAAGAATCTATGTCAAAACAAGATTCCAACGCTAGTTAAATCGTTGGAATCGGATAATTAGTTTAGCCATAATGATTTTTTTTTATTTTTTAATTACTAAAAACTTTTACTTTTAATATCATTAATATGTCAATTGAAAATTTTTTTTTTACAAAATCCTTTAGGATTTATGTTAGTGATGTAAAATACTATCGAAAAAATGTATCTACAATCAAAAACTAATTTTGACCTAATTCAGGTGGCCCGTTTGAGAAATTCTGACCCAACTACTAGCTATAGTTGCCTCGACAAAATTTTTTCGGCCCTACCTTTTTGGACAAAAATTTAATATCGAAACCGATCATAACCCCCTCGTTTGGCTCAGTAGTTTAAAGACACCCAATTCCCGTTTAATTCGATGGAAAATAAAATTAGACGAATTTGACTACAACATTTCCTATAAAAAAGGTAAGGAAAATATTGTCGCTGACGCACTCTCTCGTGTTGAGATTAACGTTCACAATTCTGACTCAGATAATGAATCACTAATGGTTAACGTAGATCTTGATGAAATTGTCACTGTCCATGCCCCTGCCGATTATGATCCCCAAGCACCTAAATCTGTAATTTCCGGAAAATCTACCGTCCACTCTCAAAAAGAAAATATTTCCTGTACTTTACCCATTTCGGAGGAATGTATAAACAAATTTCAAAACCAAATTTTTGTACGTATAGGAACATTACAGTCTCATTCAGTCACTAATCGATTTAATAAAAATATTCATTTAATTACTCTTGTTTCAAATAATTTAGAAAAACATTTTTCATCAACATTAAAACATATCATAGACCCTCAAAAGACGTACTATATTTATCTTTATGACAGAGAACTACGTCCTATTCTTGAAAACATTCTTTCATCTTTATTTAATACAACACTAAAAATTATTCTTTGTCAGTCTAAAGTTCAAGATGTTCCAGAAATTGAAAATCATTTGGAAATTGTTAATGACTATCACAATGCTAATCATAACGGAATCAACGAAACGTACGAACATTTGCGTAGAAAATATTACTGGCCAAATATGAAAAATTTAATAACTTCAATAATAAATAAATGTGAAATCTGTTTAACATCCAAATACGAAAGAAATCCTATAAAAACACCATTTAAAGGTCCTTTACTTCCTTCTCTCCCTTTAAAAACACTTCATATTGACATATTTAGCTATTTGAGATATAAATTTTTGACAATCATTGACCCCTTTACAAAATACGCCCAAGCTTATCACGTAGAAAATACAACTTCAATCCATATCCTCTCCAAATTAAGACACTATTTCGCACACCACAATTTTCCCAAAAATGTTGTTTTCGATCAAGGTCCCGAGTTTAAAAATAAAGTAGTTAACGAATTTTTTAATCTACATCAAATTAACATTCACTATACATCCAGATCTAACTCCTCATCCAACTCCCCTATCGAACGCCTACATTCCACCATAATCGAAAAATTACGTGTTTTAGAACCCTCTGAAACAAATATTATAGAACGTATGATATCTGCCATTACTATTTACAACCAATCCATACATTGACAATAATCTGACAATTTATGAAAAATATAATCAAGACAGAAAAAACGAAATTCTGCCATTTATAAAACATGTTTACACAAAGCAAAAAACAAAAGCCGATAATAACCTTGCCAAAATTAACGAAACCAGAACAGATCAGCCCACAATTAATTCTGACACTCCCGTATATGTTTGTACAGCTAGAAGATCTAAACACGAAAAACCTTACAGAAAAGAACTATTAAAAAATCAAGACAACGAAAATAAAGATATCATTTATACAGTACACCCTAAAATCAAAATAGAGACAAAAAATAATGTTAGAAAAATTAAACGTCCCCGCAAATAAACAAAATTTCTTGTTACAGCTACATCCTTGCTTACTCGTGTGTGCATAATAATGGGTTTTATCCTTATGATTCCGGAACCCAACAAGAATTTTCACATTTCCATAGATTCACTGTTTCCATTAACCTTCATAACATTCAAAAAAGTCTAAATTCAATGCCCTTCATGAATAATGAAACACCTTTAAGCAGAATTTACAATATAAAACTTAAAGAAGCAATTAATAATTTTCATAAATTAACATTTTTTCGACAAAAAAGAGGACTTGCTAATTTTTTGGGGTCTGCTATTAAATTTATTACGGGCAATCCAGACAATGACGACCTAGAAATAATCAATGACAATATAAAATCAATTTCGGATAAAACAGACGAACAATCGATAAAAATTAATAAACTTATTTCAAATGCACAACATATTCAAGAAAGATTTCATTTAATAATTGACAATTTTAATAGTAACAATAAACAACTGGAAAAATATTTACGCAATATACAAAATGATTTAGGAATTCATGAAGCACAAATTAATATCGCTAATATCGAACACGTAAATGATTTTTTATTAATGCTTTTACGTACAATAACATTTTCAAAATTAAATTTAACAAATTTAGAACTATTTTCTGCCGATGAAATTACAAGATTAGAAATAGAATTAGAAAAATTTTACGATACCAATCAAATTATTTCAACTAATCTGCTTGAACACTGTCAAACTATTCTAATTCACACTAACTATAAAATTATATTAATTTTGAAAATTCCAATCCTTAAAGTCAAATCCTACCCGCTAATCAAAGTTTTCCCAATACCTAATGAAGACAAAACCCTTATCCTACCACCAACTTCATGGAACTCCCACAACGATTGGTTCGAGATCTGTCAGCAGATTTCAATAAGACATTTTTTCTGCAATAAGAAAATCACCAGCAACTGTTCCATAACGAATCCTCACCGATGCCCAACAGCTAAAGCCGAATCCGAGATTGAATACGATTTACCAGATGGAAAAATAGTGTACTCCCCAACGAAGACATTCCGGTGTAACCAATCCATAACAGTCGATTGCTACACGATCCAATGTACCGATAAAGAAGAAGACGTCACACCTGAATTTTACACACACAATTTGCCTTCGGCAAGAAACAAACTTATTTTACAGAAAATGGACATCCCGACCGGATTCGACATAACACCAATCCAACCCCTTCATTTGCACCCAGTTGCCACCTACATCAGTTGGAGCATATCGACATCATGTCTTCTTTTTATTTTGGCCTTCATCTACATTATGGTTAAGAAAAAGAAGAGGATCCACCACTTTCTAAATCGCCCCAGAGTTACAAGAGAAACCCTAGAGCTCTTTCTTAAGGAGGGAGGTGTTACGGACGCCGACCCTGCAGCCGGTACAGCGACCTAAGAATTAAAGTTAAAGGAAATATCATATAATATTAAACAAAATCAAGCTACATCCGTTAAGACATAAAAACCCGTGTAATTTACTTTTCGCAATTCTGCAAAATAATCATTTTGTGCTTTTTTCCTTTTTATAAAATTTATTTTTGATCAGTGTTAATTGAATCGTCAAATCATTAACTTGTTAACTTCTTCTTCAATAAATATTTGGTGTACATAAAAACTTGTGTTTTCATCCAAAATATTTAACTCGCGCATCAAGGCGTCTCGACGAAATTATTGTACATTTTGGCAACCGGTAAGCGCCGCGCGACAACATATTATGTTGAACATAATATGTGGTCGATGCCAGAGATAATATCTTTTGTAGAAGAGTCAAAAAATCTTTTGACTATGAAGGTACAGATGAAACGTTCGAGGACAAAGAAGAACATTTTCGTGTTGAATTCTTCCTATTAGTCCTTGATATAGCAATAGAATCCTTTAAGGAAAGATTTAAATTATATGAGGATATTAGAAAAAAGTTTGGATTTATGTATTAATTTACAAAAATCAAAGATCTTCCCGATGAAGAATTGCAAAATAACTGCAAAAACCTACATTTTGTTTTATCCGCGGAAAATGCCGATTCCGATATTGATTACTTAGAATTGTTTGAAGAACTAACATCTTTAATTCCAATAATTCCTGAAATCAACCGAATTTCGCTCTTAAACATACTAAAATACCTTCAAACTACAAAGCTGTTTTTGGCCTATCCAAATATCTGCGTCGCAATTCGAATTTTACTTATCTTTCCCGTCACGGTTGCCTCTGCGTAAAGAAGTTTTTCAAAATTATAATTAATAAAAAATTATTTAAGATCAAGTATGTGCCAAGAACGACTAGTGGGTTTGGCTATATTGTTAATAGAAAAGGATGTTGGAAGAGAACTGGATATGACTTCAAAAACCATTGACGCCTTTCCTTCCGCCAAAGCACGGAAAACATATGTGTGATTTTTTCTTAAACGTTAATTTCCATATTAATTGAAGGGGTCAGAGCTGAAACCACCCAAATGCATTTTTAAGCCAAAATTTTCTACTATCCGCTAACATGCTTAAGAAATGTTGACTTAAAAATGCACTTGGGCGGTTTCAGCTCTAACCCCTTCAATTGGTTTATCGTTTGATGATTTATTAGTTTATTTCCGCTAGGCGCTATGTTAATTTTCAAGAGTAAATTTTTATTTTAAGTTCAAGCCCCGCATTTTTCTTTTGCACCTGGCCTCTAATAAGCTAACGCCGGCCCTGCGAGTAACTATAGTTATTTAGGGGTTGAGGGGTTGTAAATATAAAAATAAATTGCCCCCCTAAAATAAAAAACTACCTGTTTTATAAAAAATATTACTTATTCTATTTGTTTATTTTTTTGCAGAATGCCAAGGCCAGTTACGACTTTAGCAGTAACGATCCTTTTCCCTATCCACGTTACACGGATGACTGGTTTAATAGGTAATTTATATTTTAATTAGCAAAATCTTCCAAGGGCAACTAAACTGCGCACCACTCAATGTGTCGCGACCAAAAAGTTTGTTCTTTTTCAAAACGACATAACTTTTTTGTTTCTTAAACTATTTTATTTTGGTCTGTGTTGTCTGCTAGCCTCATCCTCTGGCAATTCATGCTATAGATATGAAGCTCACGGTTCTTCAAGTAAATTTCCTACAGGGTGATATGTTATACGGTGAAAAATTTCAATAACTTCATCCAAGACCCGTTTTTAAAAAAATAATTTTTTCTCGTTTTTACTTTGAAATAATGAAGTATTATGTCTTACCTTGAAATGTTTATCAAATTTTTCGAATTGGAATCTTAGCAACGAAAATATGATTTTTTTTTCAAAAGAGTGCATTTAAGGCTTTTTTGTAGGCAATACACTAAGTCTTTTTAGGAACAAGAAGATAAGATGGTGAAAGAATGTTCATGAAATAATTCTGAACAAGCGACAAGCAACAAACTTCCATTATTTTCAGAGGGCCTAAGCAAAGACCACTCTTTCAAAATAACATTTTGGTGAAAATTTGAGAAAACTAAACCTAAACCGATATTTACGTACGTCTGGCATTGGTATTTTAACAGCCGGGAATTGTTTTCGAATCTTAATTCTTCGTGATTTTGGTTTTATCTGAAACTTAAATTTGACAACTGAATCACAATCAGGAGGTCAAAATTATGAAGAAAACATGTCACGAAGGTAAATATCGGTTAAGGTTTAGTTTTCGCAAATTTTCACCAAAATGTCATTTTGAAAAAGTGGTCTTTGCTTAGGCTCCTCTGAAAATAATGGAAGTTTGTTGCTTGTCGCTTGTTCAGAATTATTTCAGGAACATTCTTTCACCATCTTATATTCTTGTTCCTAAAAAGACTGAGTGTACCTATTGCCTACAAAAAAAGCCTTAAATGTACTCTTTTGGAAAAAAAATCATATTTTCATTGCTAAGATTCCAATTCGAAAAATTTAAATAGCCTTTTAAGGTAAGACATAATACTTCATTATTTTAAAGTAAAAACGATAAAAAATATTTCTTTTTTCAAACGGGGCTTGGATGAAGTTATTGAAGTTTTTCACCGTTTTAAATATCACCCTGTACGAAATTTACTTGAAGAACCGTCAGCCTTATTTCTATAGCATGAATTGCCAGAGGATGGGGCTAGCAGATATCACAGACCAAAATAAAATCGTTTAAGAAACAAAAAAGTTATGTCGTTTTAAAAAAGGACGAACTTTTTGGTCGCGACACATTGAGTGTTGCGCAGTTTATATGTACTATGCTCCACACCTCAAAGTCCCACCACGTGACCACGTACGGAACGCAGTCTTTTGAAAATTTGGCATTCAAGGCTTTTCAGGTTATGTATCTGTCAAAGTATGGTCAATGAAAGAAATAATATTTATAGTGTTACCGCTTATGTTTAAGCTTTAAATGTTAATAAATCTTTATAGTATCACAATAACAATGGTTGGTTTAAGAATTTAGGAAAATGAATAATGCATTTAATGAAATACCAAAGTATAAGGTGCAATATAAGTGATATTTTTGTGCATTGGGTCTACATTTCTCCATAAAATAAACAGCATTTATTAAAAAAAAATCTAACTTCTCTATTATGAAATAAGAATATCTGTATCAAAGGTAGGTTAATATATTATAACAAAAATACCATCTAATTTTGCATTTTAAGGTTAGAATAATCTATTTGACCAAAATAAATAAGTGGATTATTTGGTCATAAATAAATAAATATAGGTATACTAAATAATTGTTGAATATGGTTCAAATTAAATTGAAGCTTTTATGCTTTTAATGACAAAACTTGTGGATACCTCTCGGCATACCTACTTTAAGTTAGATTATAAGAAAACAAAAAATTTTTAGAGAAACTTGCAATGTGAAAATATTTAATACTCCCATGACATGTGATTTTTTAAAAATTTTAAAGTTATAATGATTTTTCGATGTAGATCAAATTCAGTCAAAGCTTTTGAACTATTTATATTGACAAAACTTTATGTAGGTACAATTTAAGCTGGATAAGAAAAACTACCACATTTTTAAATACCATATTATACAGTCGTTTAAATAATCAAAAATACTTATTTATTTTGTTCAAAATAAATTTTTCTAATCTTAAAAATACAAAATTAGATGGTATTTTTGTTATAATATATTAACCTACCTTTAAAATAGATATTCTTATTCCATAATAGAAAAGCTAGATTTTTTATAATAAATGCTGTTTAGTTAAAATTATTTTATGGAGAAAACCAGATATTTGGGTCAAATGCACAAAAATATTACTTATTTGGCACCATACACTTTAGAATTTTATTAAAGGCAGTATTTATATTCTTAAACCATCCATTGTTATTGTAATGTTATAAAGATTTAAACATTTTTAACGCCTAAACATAATATTATTTCTTTCGTTGACTATACTTTGAAAGAAACATAACCTGAAAAGCCTTAAATGCCAAATTTTCAAAAGACTGCGTTCCGTACGTGGTCACGTGGTGGGACTTTGAGGTGTGGAGCATAGTACTAAAAATTATGTTATATTTTATACCAAAAAAATAATTTTAGAACTTTGCATAAATCTCATAAATTTATATTTATGCATGTACTTTACTAAATAATTTTAGAAGTTTGCATGAATTTCATAAAGTTATACTATATATAAGGTTAAATGCTTGTCATGACAGCCAATATTTTCTAAATCTCCATTAATAATTCGTTAAATTTCCTAATTTATTCATATTACAAAAAACTGCTGGTATAACTCCTAAGAACATCCAGATAAAAGCAGAACTTGATTTAAATCCTGGTGATTGGCCTCTGCAAATATTTGAGAAAGATATTATCAGTGCTGCTCATTTAATATAGAGGAATTTTAAAGCCCTTTAAGCAATTTTGTATTGCCCGATATTTGTCATTTTTTTGTATTGTTTTAATGTTAAAAAAAACAACCAAGTGCAAGTAGGACGCGTACCGAGGTCTTACAAGGTAGTTTTAAAGTCTTCTCTTGAAAGGTAATGCACTATATGTAATGGTATATTAAGTATCAAGAACAGTAAGGATAGTTTACCGATCGACGACAATGTTTAGCGACTGAGCGTAGAGAACAGCCAATATTGGAGGAATTTGTTTAACTTACTTCTTACTTTACTATTTTTTGTACGACCATTATACGCCAACATTAAATATTTCTTTAGTATTTTTATTTTGGGCACTTTTTTGTAAAAAAAAAGCAATGTCTTGAAATTCGTTGTTATAATACGTTTATAATTACATTGGAAATTATCTTTTATAAATAAAAAAAACTATGAATGATTCTAAAAGCTTAGAAAATACAAACAAAGAAGTCGAAACATCGCTATGAACTTTTAAGAAGTGGTTTGAAGAAAGCAAGAGAAAGAATTTAAACAAAAATGCCCTATTTTGCAAAATGCAAAATTAAGGTATAGTAGTTATTTTTAATATAAATAACTAAAAATAACGAAAAATTATACTTAATATATTTACCGATCTGATAACGCGTCGCGCAACCAGTAAACACAACCTACCGATCTACTTTTGGTAAAAAAAAACAAAAAGCATTTTGTCAAAGAAATGCAGTGGTGGATTGTGGATTTTGGGTATACCGATATCTCAGTTAGTGGACATGGGACCCACACCAAACTTATATGAGTTTATATTGACATTAAATAAACAAGTTCTGCTCAAGCAGAATTTAAAATGAAGTTTTCGAAAAAATTTAGTTTTTCAGCACGCCTCACCAGCCCCCTGCCACCCTAATTAAAATTATTCTAATTAAAGTGGTGCAATTCATAATTTACTAAAGTTTATCGAAAATTTTTAAAATTTATTTAAAAAATCCAAGATTTACAGATTTTATACCATTTTTAATTTTTTTAAATTTTAGTTAAAAGAATAATAAAAAGTTAAAATGGTATAAAATCTGTAATTCTTAGATTTTTTAAATAAATTTTGAAATTTGCCGATAAAATGTAGTGAATTATGAATTGCACCACTTTAATTTGAATAATCTTAATTAGGGGTGACAAGAGGCTGGTGAGGCGCGCTGAAAAACTAACTCTTTTTCGCACACTTCAATTTAAATTCTGCTTGCGCAAAACTTGTCTATTCAATGTCATTATAAACGCATATAAGTTTGGTACGTACCATTTTCTGTTTTAATTCTGTGATTATTAAATTATTATTAATATTATTATTAAGAAATTAGAAATTGCTGCATTTGTTGGTTTCTTTAGTTCTGGACACCCTGTATAAAAAAGTATACAAAATGTTACATATTTCTTTTTAATTTAATATGAATAGCAATTTTCTTTATCTCGGTTGAAAACTCTGAACAGAATTACTTTTTTTACTACCAAAATTAAAAAGTTCCAGAGATAAAATCGGATATATAATTTAAAAGCATATAATAAGTTTATGTTTTATTGCACTAAGGCAAGTGACCTGAAAATATATAAAATGTAATTTATCCGACATGACTAAAATGTAATAGGGTATATGCTCTTGTTTCACGTCTAATTTAATCTGAAAATGTGAAAAATATCGGTATCTATATGGGATATAAATAAAGTGGGAATTTTATTAACCTTCGTAAATAATAATAACGGACGAAAAAATTCAATTTTCTCTTTGAGTAAGTTATTGCTTCCAATAAATCTTAGTCCAAAAAAAGAAATGAACATTATCAATGGCATGTGAACTTTACATTATAAAGTAGGTATACAAAATATATATATTTTGTGTAAAAAAAGTAATTTTTTTTTGTCTTTGCATTTCTTTTATAGCAATACACAATTCCAATTAATTTATCATATAAAATTATCAATTTCTATAAAATTATATTACATTTTAAAAAATTCCCAAAAAAACATGATTATACCAAAAAATTAACTTAGATAGTCCTGACGCACGTGTTGTTTTTAATCCCAGTGTTTTTTCATCAAAACGAAGCTTTTTAGGGGGCGTCGCAAAAAATTTAATTTTTAACGACCACCCTAATGTATAGATTAAAAAACAATAATAATTTATAATAATTATTATAATTATAAAATATTGAATACTAATTTATACAAAAATGATAACAAAATTAAGATATTCAAATATAATACTACAAGTATTCAAAAAGACCGTAAAACCGTCAAAAACTTGTTTAACAAACTTATCTTTGTAGTTAATTGTGTAATACTACCCAGGGATTTACTATTTTTAAACACTTTTCAGATCCCCTATAAAGTTGCCCTCCTTTAATTTTTCTATTTTAAGTGTCCCAAAAAATTAGGTTATGTAGGTACTATAAAATACTTTTTTTCTAGGTATAAAAAAAATTTAAAATTGATTAGTATACAGGAAAAAAAAGTTTAATTTTTCTCAATGGAAAACCCTATTTATGAATTTATTTTTCGATTCCCTATAAAATTCTAAGCATAATTCATAAAAATACCATATACCTAAATTCAACCAACCGAATTTAAATTATTTTTAAGATACCTATTAATTTAAAATAGTTTGTCTTTCTCTGTCTGAGTAAGCCATTTATACTTACTTAACAAGACATATTGACATAATGTCACTATAGTTAATTATTTTTAATAAACATTTTGTTATACTGAGGCTTTTTGATTTATAACAGTTTAGAAAAATATTTGATGGTAACGTTGCAAATGCACAAACTACCTATTATAATGTTAACAAAAAATCTGCAATAATAATGTATAATGCATATGTAGAGTCTAAAATTAGACATGGAATAATTTTCTGGTATAACTCAATTGATACATACAGTGTTAAAGTTCTTCAAAAGAGATGCTTAAGAAATATATTTATTAAAAGTCAAATAACATTCTGCAAGCCATATTTCTTAAAGAATAATGTTCTGACTCTTGCTAGTCTCTACATTTATAAAGCAGTAATGTTCACTCTCTAAAAATGAAATAGTCAAAATTCTACTATTTGAATTAGTACCAGCATTTTTTACTAATAAAATAGTCGTTTTCAGTTTTAAATAGTTATTTTTTACTACGTAAATAGTTAAAGTTTGACTAATTTAAGATTAGTCACCATATTTGACTATTTCTGACAGTTAAAAGTAACTAATTTCTTTAATCGTTTACGGCCAACAATAAAGTATTATTTGAATTAAATGCATATACCTCTCCATGGTTAAATGACCCATAAAACAAATAAAGATGCAAAAAGTTTAGCTCAAAACAGTAACACAAATAATATATTAAACTAAAATATTATGAACAAATAAAATTTATTTTTATAAGAGCGGCTGACAGCCGACTGGTTATGAGGTTAGGTTGACAAGCTTCTCAAGTGACAGACGTGAGTTCAATCCCAGGCTGGGTCAAAACTTTTTTTAAATTTAAATTTACTAATTTAACTATTTCATTCAGTGGAATTTGACTAATTATTAGTGACTGCTTTTTCGCTATGACAATTAGTCAAATATGACTTATAATTAGTTATTTTTGACTAATTCATTTTAAGAGAGTGGGGTATTTCAATTGTAACGTGAGCGACACTGACACTGCGTTTTTTCATAATAATAAAGTGTTGGATCATATACAGCCCGTTCAGAGAAAAACCGAATATATCGTGGCCTCGCCTCCCTCCAAGGCACGTCACAGTAGCTTGTGTGATAAACGACATGTCGAAAGGTCGAGCAGGTAAGGACTTAAAAAAATAAATGATAATAATGCAAAAAATTTCATTAGCGATGCAGGCTATTTATTATTTATTATTTAAAATTTTAACTATTGTTCCTAAATATTTACTTTTTTGTAAGGTTTAATTGTAATATTATTATTGTTTGCTTACCTTTGTACCTGACTTTTCATGTAACTTTTATTACACTGAATAAAACTTATTATTATTATTATTATTATTTGCTTAGCTACTGTGTCGCGCGTTGGAGGGAGGCGAGGCCACGCCCCATATATATATATATATATATATATTCGGTTTCACTCTGAACGGGCTGTATATCAAGTTACGTTAATATACAAAAAAAGTATGTCAATAAAAACTTGTATAGAAAACCTTTTATAACGTCATGAATCGCGTAACGGGCGCGACGGATGAAAGCATAGTAATAATTATTTATGTAAAACTTAAAAAGTAACCGCAAACAAGCACGTATTTTAATTGAACAAATATTGTATTCTTTATTTTCTAAAATTTTCTCAAAATTTAACGGGTGCTACATTTAAACTTTGTATCGAGTATTGAAACTCTTCAGTGATTATTCTTAATGCTAGCTTCTTAGCATTACAATGTACGAATATTTTAAAGTTATAAATTACATCGCAATTAAACTATTTGACTTCAGATATAGTTTTTATTTTGTTAAATAACATATCTGATTTTTTGTCAAGGTGGGGTAAGGTTTCGTGGAAATACCCTTTGGTAATTTAATAAATATTTTTTATACTTAAATTCAGCTGTTTTTTTACATTTGCAATTACATAGTGCCGCAAAATATATATTTTTTGAATTTTAGGGCTAAAAAATTAAAATATTTAATGTTTTATATTTAAATATAAAAGGGGCGCACCAAAGAATACTGCACGTAGGCGCCAGACACCCTAGGAACGGGCCTGAACAGAATTAATTAATTTTCTACCTACAAAAAAATAATAATCATATTTAACTACTTACCTGTCATAGTAAGAAACTTTTCTCAAAGCTAAAGAACTGTCTAAGACTGGTGCTGTCGCAGAAGTGTTATTATCACACTAAAGAATTTATAAATAATCGACAAATTCAATGTTTATAATTATGAGCCAATGCCGAGTCAACCAAACAGTAAATATATACTTTTTTGTTGAATTTAATTGTATTAATATTTTAATACGACTTTTGCTTTAATCATCATAAAACTAATACTTAATTTTTATTTCACATTTTCTACGATGTTTGATATTTGAACGAATAAACGATAAATATTTATTTGTTTAATATAACTCTTATGTTCTATAGTATAACTTTAAAAATATTAAAGCCTTACTTTTACTTAATATACTTTATATACTTTTTTACAGTCATGGTACCAGATGTGCAGGAGAAGTGGCAGCAGCCCGAGATAATGGAATTTGCGGAGTTGGCGTGGCCTACGACTCAAAAATTGCAGGTGTGTAATTTTATAATAATAATAATAATAATTTATTTATTGCCCAACAGTTTTCACAATAAAGGACATTCAAATAACAAAATTACAGTAGATACAAAAACAATTAGTAATATACATAAAATAAATAATAAAATGAATATACTAAAATATATAAAGTGGTGTTTAAAGAAGGTAGACAACGGATAAAAAAAAACCGCAAATATATAATAAAAAAAGAAAATTATTGATAAATATAATAATTAAATGGTTAAAAACATTGTAGACTACAATTTGTAGTATACTCCTCAGACTAGAAAAATTAATATCACAAAGACTTGCTACTTTATTAAAAGAGGGACATTTTATATATCGGCGACCTTACTAACATGTTGGTACGTGCCCTTGGACACTTAAATACTAATGTTTGCCTATTATTAGGTCTTGGTACATAAAAATTTAACTGTCCCAGTAAGTCACTACAGTCTATAACATTATGAATTAATTTAAATAAAAAGGTAATGCAGATTTTATCCCTTCTTACACTTAAAGAATCAAAAGGTATCAAGCAGTACCAAATGATCAAAACCCTGAGGGGGATATACTCCAAACGTTTTGTTACTTAAAAATTTTAGAAATTTACGTTGCACTGATTCAATTGATTGAATGTGGCAAAGGTAAATTGGCGACCAAACAATCGAGGCGTACTCCAACTTGCTGCGTACCAATGCATTCAAGAAACAACAGCTCAAGGCTCTCAGGTTTAGAAAAGATTTTGCAATTTCGGATTATAAATCCTAATGTTTTATATGCTGATTTTGTAGTGATAGCGATATGTTCGGTAAAAGTGAGATGCGTGTCAAAATAAACTCCCAAATCCTTCATTACACTGACTGACTCCAAGCTGACCTCATTTATTTTGTAATTAAAAATAACTGGATTTACTTTTTTAGTGTATCTGCCTATTTTACATTTCGATATGTTTAAAGTTAATCTGTTTGTTTTACACCATTGACCTAAAATATTAAGATCATCTTGGAGATTGAGACAGTCATTTATAGTAATGACTCGAGAGGATATTTTGAGGTCATCAGCATATAAAAGCTTCAAAGAGTTTAGTTTTGGGGGCAAATCATTGATAAAGATCAAAAACAGCAAGGGACCTAAATTGGATCCTTGTGGAACGCCAGAACTGGACACAAAGTGTTGCGAATTAAAGTTATTATATGAAACAAATTGTTTCGTGTCTATTAAATAGGACTGAGTTCCACAAGAAATCTATCTAAACCAAAGCTTCTTAGTTTCTGTAACAATATGTAGTGATCAATCTGATCAAATGCTTTCTGGTAGTCAGTGTATATAACGTCGAGTTGAGAACCTTTATCCATTGTTTCACAAGCATATTGTGTAAATGAAGCCAAGTTGGTTATCGTGGATTTTTTCTCAACAAACCCATATTGAAAATGAGAAATAAGTTGACAATATAGTTTGGAGTAAATTATCATTTCAAATATTTTAGCGAAGTTACAAAGTATAGAAATTGGTCGATAATTTGTTATACAAATTTGTTATGCTTTATTGAAAAAAATTGAAAGAAATCTTTGCTTTTCCTTTAAGTAAAATAACTATAGTCTTTATCCTTTCGTAAATTTACACCAGAATGTATTTTTAGTTTGTTCTACATTTTATAATAGCTATCCTGAATTCTAATTTGCATCATGTTAATGACACGAAAATAATTTCCTTTAAAGGAGGATGTCAGCATATAATTTAAAAAATTTGGTGGATTTAATTACCGCAATAAATTCATAAAATGAAAAAATATATTGTAATGAAAAAAATAAATGATGATGTCTACTAAAAATCAAAATATAGTTTTTGTTTAAAACTTGCAAATTGCTTTTTTATGGAAAATCGCATTTAAATATTCTCGGCAATTTCTCCGGTTTCAATCTAAATTTACTCGATTCCTCGATCAAATAAACTAGCAATTTAAAATCAATTTTTTAGGAATAAGAATGTTAGATCAACCATACATGACTGATTTGATTGAAGCCAACTCAATGGGCCACGAGCCAAACCTAATTGACATTTACAGCGCCTCTTGGGGTCCCACCGATGATGGAAAAACGGTTGATGGACCAAGGAATGCTACGATGAGAGCCATTGTAAGAGGAGTTAATGAGGTAAATTATTATTATTATTATTAACAAATATATTTGAGTTTAAATAGATCTCCAACAATGACTAACCTAAAATTCATATTCAAAAATATTTATTAATTACAAAATAACATATATAATATATATTATATATTATATATTAGTATATACAAAATGTGATGCAGTGCACTGCAGTGTGTCCAGATTTACACGCCGGACTTACCCAAGTTCACTTACGCAATAATTATAATAGATAACACAGGCCCCCAAAAAAGAAGTGGTCTGCGGTATGAGTAAGGTCATGATATTTCTATATATTTTCAACAGCTGAAACTAATTCTGAACTAAGTTTAGCTCCCCTATACGTATACGCGTCTGCATTTTTTTCTACAGGTTGTCCCCGGATCGTGTTGCCAATAGAAAAAACTTTTTTAATATGTGCAGTATAAAAAATTATTGGATAAAATTGTATACAATCATATACAATTGTATAAAAAATTATATAACAAATTTTATAGAATAGTATACAATGACATACACTTGTATTTTACTACAAACAATTGTATATACTTGAATATTTTCATATCCAATCGTATACAATTGTATATAGGTACTTGTATATTATCATATATATAAACTTTAAGGAAAGCATAATCGTATACAATCAGATATAATCGTATACAACATTATATAATTATATATTATCATTTATAACTGTATCGCCTTAATTTATACAATTGTATATGATTGTATACAATTCTATCCAATCATTTTGTATCGGATGTATTACAAAAAATCATTTTTCTTAAAAACTTCTGCTTGTTTTTATTATAAATTTGTATGTACAGGGTGCTTAGAAATTAAGAAAATGTGAAAGTTCTTTAAAAGTAGTACCCTGCATTTTACAAAAAATACGAATTTCTCATAAAACAACTTATTGTTAAAAAAAAAATAACAATAAAATAAATTTAACCAAATGTACAGGTTGCTTAAAAATTATGAAATCATAAAAATGAGAACTTTCTTTATTTATTATATTATAGAAAATTTTTATAAAATAAAGTTGTTGATATTTAAAATTAAAGTACGAAATATTTTTTATATTTTTACAATAAATGTTATTTATTTATTTTACAGGCCCACAGCCCATGAATATGACCATGATATTCATATATTTTTACCCGCTGAAACTAAATCTGAACTCTTCGGGTTGGGTTGCCAATAGAACAAACTTTTTTATTATGCGTTTTACGAAAAAATTATTTATTATTAAAAAAACAGGATTCTTGTAAAAAAATTAAATCAAATGTTCAGGGGGCTCAAAAATTAAGCAAACATGAAAGTCATTTAAGAAAAAAAATCAGACGTGTGCGTGTAGGGGCTAAACTAAATTTAGATTTAGTTTCGGCGGGCGAAAATACATAGGAAAACCATAGTGATATTCATGTTGCAGGACCACTATATTTGTAGGCCTGTAAAATCAATAATTAAATAATATTAAATTTTAAAATAAAAAATATTTATTTCCTATTAAGACTTTAATTTAAATTGTCAACGACTCTTATACAATTTGTCTATTATAATGTTTTCATAATTTTCAGGGACCCTGTACATTTAATTGAAATTTTGTTTAAGGAAATCTTATTTTTTTAATTACTAGTTTTTATAAACAATTAATTTTTTCGTAAAACGACAGGTACTTCTCCCTCGAAGCATTTTAATTTTTCTTAATTTTATGTACATTTAGCTCAAACTTTTTTAATAAAAATCTCTTTTTAAACAAGCAGAATTTTTTATAAGGAATGCATTCCAGGTTTTAAATCTTAGAGGATTAAATAAGCTACTCTCTAATCCCGGACATTTAGCAGTCAATTCCTATGTAAAATTATCTGCCAAATCCGTTATCAAAAATTATAAAAGTAGAACAATTTTTAAAATAAAGTAATTTTTTTATATAAAATGGAATTAACTATATCTTAAGAACTGCTCTACCTTCATAATTTATGACGATCTTTTCGGATTCAGGGGACAATTTCACATAAGAATTGGCTGTTAAATGTCCGGGATAAAAATTGCTGTGGACAACAGTTATTAGTGACTGCTTTTCACTTTAAAAACTAGTCATATTTAACTAATTCATTTTTAGCACGGTGATTATTATGATATTTTAAATCAAAAGGCATACCCTGAAAAAAATAAGCTGTTGAAAAAACAAAAAAAAATTAATTTAATTAATTAATTAAACATTCTTGATATGTCGGAGTAATATTTCGAAAATGGTTGTGCTAACATTTTTAAGATGTTATGGTAAATATTAGTGACTAAGCCCCTCTGCAACCAACCAACCAAGAAAAAATCATGTGTTTAATTATAGGTACCTACGTATTAAATAAAAACAATAGCAGAAGTAAATATACCTAGAATTATTTATATAAATATATAAGACTTTTTTTGGAGACTATGTATGACTTATAAATGAACAAACCATTTTTATAATTTAATGATTTGTTTACTTTTACGTTTTCTCCGACATTACTATTTCAATCAAAATTGTAATCAAGGTTGAAAACTAAAACTAATTCAATCGATTATTTCAATTTTTTTCAAGACTAAAATTAATTTAATCGTCAATCGTTACTAATTACTTTAGTATTAGTTTTAAATCGCCAATCAAACTAAATTTTTGCCAACACTTATTAAGTTAACATAATTCGTGGATATAGTCCTGTACGTGGGACCCAAAAATTACATTGTACGTCCCGCACGGGCGGAGTTTAATCACGCCTTTGCGCGGTACGGTACAATTTCTAAAGGAAACTGAATATTCGTGTTCTCTGATTTTAATGTAAAGACTAGTTACTTTACTATATAAAATGCAAAATGTCATTAGTTATCAATTATCAATCAAGCAAATTTAATTAAAATACCGAACAGAACTTGAGGTGCAATTTGAAAATTTTATAAAAAAATATACATATTAATAATAATAATAAAAATAATAATAATAATAATAATATATATATGAGGCATTTCTACTATTATTTTGTATTTTATTTTAATAATTTATCGAGTAGGTATTTAGTATTTTCTTAATCTGCAACCCCACTTCTAAAAGGGTATAAGGCCTCGGTGGTGTAGTGGTCAGAGCTCCTGGGTACTTCACAAATTACACAAATCAGACGCTTCGACAATCACAACATTAAACACGGCCTTATTTACAGGAAACTTCCCATTTTTCTCCAATAGTCGCACTTGCTTCTAAATCAAAAACTACCATCCACAGCGAGGTTTTTTATTAATTTTAATTTTCCTCATTTATTCATATTTAGGTTTTTTCAAAATTTTTCCTAGACATATTCGGCACTTAAAATTTTTCTTTTTCCTCTTGTACTATCCCTTCTTTCTTCTTTTTTTAAAAAATATATCATTACTTTTAAGAAGGTTTTTTCTAATTTGTTTTTCCTTCAAATCACTCACTATTTTATTTATTCATTACTTCACCTTATCTTCCATTACTTTTTCTAAAATTTTTTACTGAGTATCTTCCCCAAAATCGCCATGCGAGTAAAAGTGGAACAGTACTGACCAATTACGATAATCTGGGCCTCTATGCGGTATAAAGTTCGCACAAGGAGGTTAATTACTTACGTTCTAACCTTCTTGTCACCTCAAAATTTAACATTTTTTCACTCACTCTTTTTTTTTTCACTTTTATATTTGCCCCCTTTAGACCACGTACTCTTGTCAGGATTACCTCAAAATTTATTATCTCTCTAAATTTTTAAACTCTATAAATTCCCTTTTTTTATATACATATTGTACCTTTTATACCTTTATAGTTAGGCTGATTAAAATTTATTATGTAATATTGTTAAATAAACTAATTTGGAATTTGGAATTTGGAATTTGGAATTTGGGTACGAGCCGAGAGGTCGTGGGTTCGAATCCCACTTGGGTATGGTTGTTTATTTGTGTTTGTCCATTGTGTATAGTCCTTCGGAGGGGACTTTAAGCCGTCGGTCCGTTCCTACCCCTAACCCGCACAAGCCATTCAGTTGGCTTATGGGACATCTTAGTTTGGATGTAAGGGTGGAACTAAAAGAGCACTTTATAACTTTTATAAGGAAGTCAAATTATTTAATAAAAGTAAATAATAATTTCAAAGATATTTATTTAATCTTGAAGGATTGTCCGTTTCTTCTTTTTTGGCAAACCAATACGTTTTTTATTGAGAAAGTGGCTCTTAAACAGTGTCGCAATATTTTATCCTCATGGAAATGGCAAATTTCTCAATCTTTGAAAATATACTATTATTCAACACCCATTTAATTTCTTATGTTTAACCGGTGGGCATTTTACTTCGCCCACTAGTTGTTCGAAAGAGGAGATTCCACTCGCGTGTTACCACACTCGCTACGCTCGAGCGGCAAACTCCACGCTAGAGGAATCTCCTCGTTCTCACACTAGTCGCACAATATTTTTGAATTAATCTGATTTCAAAGTTTTGTGTGATTTGCTTGAAAATAAATTAATAACTTTAATATTAAAATACAATGGTTGTTTATTCTGCAATTGTTTGCAGTCAGCGGCTGATGTCTAACTAGGCTAGTTAGGCTATTAACTACGGCAGCAAATTTTTGAAGGCGGAATTTTTTTCCTTGTCCACTAATAACAAAGTATTAACTTATTTTTTCTACTTCCACCTTTGAAACGCCCATTATCGTACATGTTTCCTTGACACTAAGTGACCTTTTAAATACACATTGAAAAGTTGTGGCTTTATGGCGTTTTAGTCACGGGCTGAAGTTAGTTTTAATTTAGTTGACAGTTGTCAAATGTCGTACAATCGTTAAAATAAAGTACCATTCTTGTAAAATAATACTAAATGTGAAAATCATTTTATTATCTCAATACAAAAATACAAAAGTTTCTCAACGCTTATATTTGAAAAGTTTATATGAACTCATTTAAGATAATAATAAGTATTCGTCGTAGAAAAAGTATAGTAGGTATGCACCACGTTTATAAACTTTTCTTGACACTCATTAATTTAAGCACTCGCTCACAAGTTTGTTCGTGCCTAAATTAAGTTCGTGTCTAAAATGGCTTTTATCAAACTTAATACATAATATACTAATATCTACTCCTACGTTGACGAGGTGTGACTTTATGACATTTTAGTCATGGGCTAAAGTTATCAATAATGGCTTTTGGGCATTTTAGTCACGGGCTGAAGTTAGCTTTATAATAAATTCGGGAAAAGTAAGGTTAAATCCGTTAAAAGTTGACAGATGTCAAATGTTTGACAAATGAAGTTGGCTTTAAATTCTTCTTTGTGTTCTTCGTAGATAAAGTACCTATAGTACGCAACTCGTTTTATAATTTTTTTAGACATTGGTTTTTCTTAACTACTCGCTCGCAAGCTTCGCTCGTGCCTAATAAAATGGCTTAGCTAACGCGGTATCAGCCGTATCAATGATACGGGGCCCGGGGCTAGGGTGGGCCCCGGTTGGCTTCGACATGCGTAAGCAAAAACCATGGTAACCCACATGTTAAAAAAATTGAGGCATGAAATTAAATAAATAAATAATATTATTGTTTAATTGTTTATACTTCGTTTTATTAATTTAAAATTTTCCTGAATACCCTTTTGTTCCAAAGAGGCGGTGAATAAAGATAATACACCCCATTATCTTTGGCCGTGAACTCATACGATTTGTTTCTGCCCGCACCTTTCCGCTGTGCGTTGTCTGCGGCGCAGTCTGCGCATATTGTTCTGTGCTCTGCGCCGCATACTGATTCTGCTTTGCGTGTTATTATCATAGGTTATATTAATAGCAAATTAGCGTTACAATTATTTGAAATTACTTGCCTTTATTAAAAAATAGAAACCTTTTAAAAGATGTTGAAGAATGGTGAATTTTAAAATTTGCCTGTACATAAAAAACTATACATATATTATTTATTAAATTAAAAAAATTGGTAAATGCAAACCCTAAAAATTTTTTTTGTTTGGCCAAAATAGACTTTGGGCGTGACACCCAGACATTATTTTTCCAGCAGCTTTTCCCGTATAACCCTAGATCACTCGCGCACCGGTCTTTTCGACCGATTTACGATTTTTGCAGTTTAAAAAAATATAAAGAGTTATGATATTTTTTTATTGTTTATTATAATAATATAATAACAATACAAAACTTTTAAAGCGTGAAAAAATATTATTTTTTAATAAAACAAAAAGAAAAAGAAAAAAGTTTATTATTTAAAATTAAAATATTCTTTAAAAGTTTGAAACGGGGTGCGACGTATTGAAGGTTTTTAGGAATTGTCACGGAGCCATAAAATCCAGACATGCGCGTTTCGAATACTATGTAGAAAAATCCAAGAGGTCGGTCAAAAAGACCAGGACGCGAGTGATCTAGGGATAAGGGCCCCTACCAGATTTTTGATACGGGGCCCCCTCGAGGCTAGCTACGCCACTGCTTGGGCCTAAGTAATAAATATTTAAAAACTTGTTGTTGGGGATTTAGTTGAGGAGTTAAAATTAAGCATGCCCTAAATATTACATATTTTTAAAAATAACGCTTTGACTATACCACAGCGTTCTCTATAGAGAACGCCGTGACTATACCGATCTACCGGGTTACAAGGAATAAACTAAATCCATTTATTTAAATATGTTCTTACTTTAGCTTCTAAAACTATCCAAAACCCTGTTGATTGAAAATTTTGATAGTAAATTACATGTACTAAATAAATTTTCTTAAAGAAATATTGCCTTGGCCGTACCGATCTACCGGGTTACAAAAAGTTAACTAAATATAATTGTTTAAATTGTTCCTTCTTTTGCTTTTAAAAATAAATATAAAACCGTGTTTCATATTGAATTTTGAAGGTGGATTATGTTTAAACATGCCATTTATATTACATTTAAAAAAAATATCGCTTTGACACATTAAATAAAAATTTTAATTTCTTCTTACATTTGTTTCTAAAAATATCTAAAATCGTCTAAAATATATGTGTATATACACTTTTTCAAAAGCAACTCTCTCAACTCCTGGGCAGTTCTTGGAGCTGGTGTATGCCTTCAGATACGTCATCCTAGACATGTTCTATGGGTTTCAGGTCTGGACTGAGTTCTGGCCAATCAAACCGCTTAATTCTTACCTGATCCAGATATTCACTTACAACGCTGGCTGCATGATGTCTAGCATTATCTTGCATCGAAAATACCATGCTAGCCCATAGTGATCATGAAATGTATTAAATTATCTTCCAGAATTTCTGTAATGTACCTGCGAGCTGTCATGGACCCATTCTATATGAAGACCTGCTCTGTGCGTGCTTGAGAAATTATTCCCGCCCAAACCATAACCGACGCACCTCCAAATGGAAGTTCCATTCGTTAACATTAAAATTTCTAACCTCTTGAAGTTAATTTCGCAGAAAAACTGCAGAAGCTGTTCTATTCCGCATGCTTGCAGATACTAAAAACCGATCATCTCTCTGGTTGGTAAATCTTTTCGCCAGGATCCTGGTCTTCTGGTTATTAGTCCAGTCTCCTGGTACGATGACAATAATTAAAAGATAACCAAAACGACACATAGCATTTTTTGGAAAATATATGATTCACAGCCTACTAGACCAATGGTTTTATTTCTAAAATTATTTGCAATTTTTTAATTGACCTAAATTTTTTGCTCGCCAGTATATACATATATATATACAGTATGTCTCAGTTTCTTGGAATCATATGGAAAACTTTTTTATTATTAATTTTAGGAAAAAAAGTTATTCTTCATAAAAAGTTCTGCATGGTGTAAAACTTAACATGCAACCCACAAATATTATTTTTTTTTAGTCGTATACGAGGTATGTCAAAAAATATGAATTTGGCGCAAGAGTAAAGTACCTTTATATTTGACAATATCAAAAATTGTTATAAAGAAAAGTTAATCAGAACTAAAAACTACGTTTAAATATGCAAGTTCATACATTTACATTAAAAAATTAGGTTTTGTTAATTTTTACTAATCTTTCTATTTTAAATGAACATTTATCTGTTATGATTAGAAAAAACATGAAAACCTTAAGTTAAGTCAGGGGATCTAGCAGGCCAAAAAGTTTTAGAATATCAACAAATCATTTGTATATCAGTGAATCCTAGATTACATGTTACAGTTAAATTTGCATTGATATTGTAGACAAAAAAGAAAAAATATTTTTTTTAATGTAAATGTATGAAATTTCATATTTAAACGTAGTTTTTAGTTCTGATTAACTTTTCTTTATAACAATTTTTGATATTGTCAAATATAAAGGTACTTTATTCCTGCGCCAAATTCATATTTTTTGACATACCTCGTATACGACTAAAAATAATTAATATTAACAATTTTTGATATTGTCAAATATAAAGGTACTTTATTCCTGCGCCAAATTCATATTTTTTGACATACCTCGTATACGACTAAAAATAATTAATATTTGTGGGTTGCATTTTAAGTTTTACACCATGCAGAACTTTTTATGAAGAATAACTTTTTTTCCTAAAATTAATAATAAAAAAGTTTTCCATATGATTCCAAGATACTGAGACATACTGTATATATATATATATATATATATATATATATATATATATATATATATATATACATGTTTCAAATATAATTTACAATTTTTTTGTTATACATAATACATAATTTACTTCTTGCTATTTTTTATATAAATATTTCAAACTTGTTTGCAGAAAATCAAAATATGTATGATAAAGGGTAGCGCGTCAGGAAATTGCTAGACCGAATGGAGCGACCTCGGCACCGGACGGCCAAATATGTTGGTGGGAGTTTGTGGCTAATCTGCCTCTAGTTTGTTCAACTAATTAAATCTAAAATCAATTAAGTGTATTTGTTTGAAATTATCGATATATCATTACCAGGAGGCGATTTGGTTTAGCATATGGGCTATATATAGGCGGCACATTTGTAAATTTGTATCTGATTGCACCCTGCACAGTGGCGTGCCCATAGGGGGGGTTAGGGGGTTCAACCTCCCCCAAGGCTCAGAATTTTTAAACAAAAAAGTGAAGAAATATAGTTTTTATTTACCATCTACCCCCTCCATTTATCCTTCTACGCTTAACCCCCCAAACAAAATTTATGGGTATACAGTGGCGTTAGATAGAGTGGAAAGCTCCATAACGCCTCAAGTTATCCATCAAAATTGTTTCACATTTTTTTCTTTTTTTTAATTTATAATCAAAATAAAAAAATAGTATTTTACAATATATCAAAGTGATTATTTTTTCCTATTCCTATTATTTTTTTAGAGCCATTGACAAGGTACATTTAAAACCAACTGTTTGACTTCTACGTTGTTTTTTTATTTTTTTTATAATTGCGATTTTTTTTTATATTATTTTATGCTACAAGAAAATATTTTTTTAATAAAAGATGTACTTCTTGCACTACTACAACGAAGCTGTGGCTAGGATTGGTTTACTATTATGGCTCGAATTAATAAGTGCTTTTATGTTTGTTTTTTAAATCAGATTTAATTTCTTACTATAAATAATAAAACAACCCATGGGTGGTTTTTTTTTAATAATACAAATTGGTAAAATTACATACGATTATTTTTAAAGGAGCCATCATAAACCACTTTTTTTAAAGGAGCCATCCTAGTCCACTTTTTTAAAACAATTTGGGTAGTAGTAGAATTTGCTTCTCAAATCAAAAGTGTATTTTTTACACAAATTAAATTCGCTTGTTTTAAAATAATAATTATTTTTGCAAATTTAACTCTTTGACGGTCATATTTGCTAAACAAAGCTAAACTAAAAAAGAAAAGAAAAAAAAGCTTTGAAAAATATTCTATTTCTAAAGCGGATGGTAGCGAACGAAACTAAATATAATATTATTAATTTATGCCATAAATTTTATGGAGAAACGTATACTTACTTGGTATTTAGAACTTCGTCGTATTTACCTTGGTGTTTGGATAGGAACCAGAAACAATATTGTACATGTATTTACAGGGATAAACACAAGCATCCCATAAAATATAATTTGTTTTTAAACAATGATGTTTTGTAATAGCTTAAAAGCTGTGGCTCTGGTCATATTCGTTTACTATTATGGTTCGAATTGGTAACTGCTTCATGTTTGTTTTTTAAATCAGATTTAATTTCGTACTATATAGCATAGACCTCTTTTTTAAGACAAAATAGGTAGAAAAAACTTTTAAAAAATAAAACGCCTTGGAAAGAAACATAAATTATAAAAAATGGTTAAAAAAATAAAAAAAATTGCACTCACACTTTGAATATTCAAAACAAGAGCTTGAATCCCCAAAAGCAAAGGATACTAAATACTAAATTAGATAGCTTATTTATTGGTTTATAAATATTAATAATTTCAGTAAATATACCTAAGCATTAAGGACTTGTAACACGAGAGATACTGTGATGGAAATATCTTGCAAGACAATATTAATATTATACACTGCGCATCAAAATTAACGCACCACCTAAAATTTGGCACAAATTCAAAGTTAATTTTCTCACAAACTGCTGAATCGATTTTGACATTTTTTTTTTAAATTGCAGCTTAAATCTTCAGGAATGACTCTGTAAAACAACTTTTCATTTAAATCGAAGTTTTAGGCATACACAGGGTGTTTTAAAAGAAACCAGTTTGTTGTCTAATTTTTGTCGCATCCTGTGAGACTTTCCATATGCACCAATAGATGCCTGTTCCAATCAAAACATAGCCCCATCCTTTCTGAACATTTTGTTTTTTTATTCATGGTTTTAGCTGTTATTTAATGAAATACTGAATTTAATGTCAAATGAAAGACTTTGCCAGATTGCAAGAAAAGTTATAACCTTCAGGTAAATCTAATTAGGTCATGGAAATAGAGGCTACTGTCTTTATCTGTCAGTGTTATTATTCTGAAATTTCTCTGCATTTGTGTTATCATTGCAAAAATGGAGCGTCAAACAAGAAATTTAACTCGAGATGAATGTGAGATGGCGACTACATTGATCCAGGAAGGAATGGGCTACCGAGCTGTAGGTAGAAGACTGGGTGTTACTCATTCGACAATATTGCGCATATTTCGCCGTTTTCAAGAAACCAATGACCACAACAGGCGTCGTGGACAAGGAAGGACTCGGGGAACAACGGCTATCTATGACAGATTTTTGCAACTGAATGCTTTGAGGCAACTACGGGTACAATTAAATACTGCTTACAATATCTACGTAAGTGTGTCAACTGTAAGGAGACGTCTCGCAGAAAGGAATTTAAGGTTTAGAATTCCAGCACGAGGACCAAGGTTAAGTGCAGACCATATCCGAGCAAGACTTCAATTTGCCAGGGAACATGTAAACTGGGCTGCTGAAGATTGGGAGCGAGTTTTGTTTACAGATGAGACAAGGTTTTGTCTCTACAGCAATGACAGACGAGTAAGGGTTATTCGACGACC